GGTTATGCGGCGCAGGATGCGGGGTGTCTGGGACTCGGCGCGGACTTGCGTAGGTGTGCGCTCGGTGGCGAAGTCCGGGCCTGGGGGCCGGGGCACCTGGGTGGCCGAGGAAGAGCGACTCCTTTCGGCGCGTGTGCGGGCTCTCGAGCAGCGCGCAGAAGCCGTAGGCGGTGCGTGCGCGGGGCAGGTGTGACAGCGAGAGGGCGGCCTGTGAGCGCGGGTCCCAGTCGGTGCGACCAGCGTGGTCGTCCCTCTCCGCGTCTGCAGCCCAGGCATCGCGCAGCGCAGCCCAGGCTGTGTTAGGCTCCAGCCTCGGTGGGATGCAGAACTCTGGGATGCGGTCAGGAGTGAGCACGTTCACGCATGCAGTGGACGAGCGCGCTTTGGTGCGGCGGGCTAGCCCGGGGAGAAACCCGTCTCGGTTCCGCAGGAGCCGTTCCAGACACCACATCTGGCCGCTGGTCCTGGAACTGGGTGATCCTCTGTTTGAGCCTGCCTGCTACATACAAATGCACACCTGTCAGAGGCAGCCTGAAAGAAAGTGGGAATTTCAGTCTCCTTTATTCCACTTCATCCTGTCCAGATCCGTACATGCAAAATCCCTCTCCCCATTGCAAATTGTTTTCAGAGACTGAGAAACAATCGTTTATCACCCGCCCTGTCTCCAGTCGGCTGTCATGTAATTTGTAGCTTGCTGTAGTCTTCTCTGTCCTCCCTTACTGGCCCTGCTACCTTTGTCTTTTAATTTGAACCTCTGACCTCAGTGCCAAAAGGCGCTTTGCTTTGTGCATTTGTACATCTGTTCCCTGAAACCTCTGAAGTCTAATATCGGTCCAGTCAGTGAGAAACACACACACACACACACCCCAGAAACAGTGACTCCTTTCAACGATCTTCAAGCCACCCAGGTCTCACAGCCTGGACCGAATTGGGTTCCCATCCATATACCTGGTTTTCGTAGTCAGATGATTTTCCAACCTGAGAGACGTTGAGAAATTCAAAGCACCCGCGGCGGGTTGATCGCTGCTGTTCCAGGAGAGCTGCTCAGGGTTTTTATACCAGCTGTCGCAGTGCTGCCTGGTAACCTGACTCCTGGTCCTCCCGGGTCCCTCTGCCACGTGGATGGATTTGCTGATCTGATCCCATAGAAGGCTGTTCTGTGGGTTGGAGCCGTCCTCTCCCAAAACTCTGAACAAATTTGTTTCCTCACGTGCAAAATAGGATTAAGTCTGGATCATATCGCAGTTCTTGTGAGGACGGAGAAACAAAATGAACTGGAGCGCACAGAATCACTCACTCAGCGTGCCCCATTTGAAAGGAGCCAGAAGTCGGGTTTGTCTCACACAATGATTTTTCTCATATCCAACCTTCTTGCTGCCTAGCGTTGAAATTCTTCACTTTCTGCATTCAGTTCTGATTTTAGAGGTCTTTTCTCTGTGGATTTTTAATCAGTCTGAGTTGTGGGGTTGAGGAGGGAAACTTTTGGGATTCCGGAAACGTTCCATGTTTGTCTTGGGTGGGGTTAAAGGGGTGTATTCCTATGTAAAGAAGTCATCTAGTGTACACTAAGATTAAAGATAAATCTATATCAATTAAAAAACCACAACCTTCATAAGAAGGGTGCTAATTTTTAATAGGGAAATATCCTTCATACATCTAGCCATTGGCATCATCCTTTGGAGACACACACCAACCATATCTAACCTTTGGAGACTGTACCCCTCTGAGACCCCCATCCCTTTCTCTTGAAAATTGGTGTTTATCCTTCAAGAGAGTTGTTTGCAGCTCGAGCTGAAAGAGGTGCTGAGATATTTCAGTTAGAGTTTGGACACAGGACGATTCTAAGATGCTGCCTTGTGAAGGAATGGCTCCTCCAAGCAGTGTTGAATAAACTAAGTTGAATTCAGGCAGAGGGGGTTTCAGTTTGTGACATGTTGTGTGTGTTTTGTATCCAGGACGCAAGACAATGTGCTAGATGACTTCATCTCTAGAGTTGTCACGGGGACCTTAGGAATCAGATTATCCATATTTCATAAGCAGCAGCAGCAGCAGCAACAACAAAAGAAACAATCCTTCAGAGGTTAAATAACTTACCCATAGTCATCAAGGAAAGGAAATGCAAGGAATGTCCACTAATCGGTAGTAAATGAGTTATTGGGGGGTTAAGGTATATTATCACGCAGTGTGTATGTAACATAGCAAATGTGAAAGACACAGAAGCAATGAATATCAGTATTGTTGTTAACATTGAGAGTGGTATCACTGACAATAGTTAAGAAGATTGTGTCTGAAATCATAACAAATTTTGATTCCAGAATAGGAGCTTCCTCTGAACAAGTTACCAAATGTGTCTGAGCCTTGGTATCCAAGGTAAAGACCACGATAGGACACACGATTGGTTTGCCCTTGAATAAAATAGGTAATCCAAAGGAACAGTTCTACATAGGACCTGATGCACATCATGTCAGCTGCTATGTTCATTGTTATTTAGGTAAATGCTCCTTAGTTCATTCATGTGTGTAAAGCAGAACTTAGGAAAGGCTTCCTGGGTTTTAACCGCCTTGAGAGATACATGAATTCAGGCTGTACCAGATCTTATCAGCTTATGTACAACTCTTAGAAGAGAAAGGGAATGGTAAAGTTGAAACATTTGAACTCCATCTAGCTAGTGCAGTAGCAAGAAGGAAAAATGTAAATATATTTTGTTTTAAATATGTGTATATGCACATGAATGCGTGCACACATGCTCGTGCACCCGCATGTGGATGCCCCAACGGGCCTGAAGAGGGTGACAAATCCCCTGGAGCTGAAATTCCAGGCAGTTGTGAGCTGCCCCGCTTGGATGATGGGAGCCAAACTTGGGTTCTTTACAAGAGCATCTAGTGCTTTTAGCCACAGAACCATCTCTCTAGCTTCAAGAGACTTTGGATTCTATTTTATATTTAGTCTGATAGGGAGAATTGGAGCAGGTTCCTGCGTTTACCTTGTCTGTGACTAGCTTCTTCTTCATTTTATAACCTCTATTCCTGGCTGAAATTCTTGGACCAGGGTTCAGTCTCTACGAGAGTAGTTACATACCCAAAGGACATGCACCTACGTTCAAACTCATTTTTTTCCCCATAGGGAATGTGCTGTCTATTTCATGATATCCCAGCCATTGGTTAAAATGACAAGTACTGTAAGAGCCCAGTCTGATAAACTGTGACTCAAAGTCACTAACGTGTTGGACCCAGCTTGTAAGATGGAAGCTGCCATACCTATCGCACAGACTGCTGTCAGGGTAAGATGGTCCCGAGCTGGCAGATAGTTAGCTGTTGTCACTGTTCCTGTGCGTGTTTGCGTAGCCAGGCCTTAGGTGATTCACACTGAAATTCTTGAAAAACGCCTCTCTGCCCAGCCACGCAAGGCAGGCTTGTTTTATTTTTATCAACAGCTCACCTTCTTTAGTAACACCTTGACAGCGTTTCCTGTGTCATGTTTCTTGAAAACAGCAGAGGCACGCTCTCACAGGCCAGTCCTCTGGGACTGCAGTAAGGCTCTTGTTTTACTTAACACAGAAGCATGCACCATCCAGTGCTTGGGAGGCTGGGGTGATCTGGTCCTGCCCGGCGCCCAGAACATACAAATCCGCGCAGAAGAAGACTACGTTCATTCTGAGCTCATACCTGTAGCCATGGGGATATGAGAGTTGGAGCTGTGGAAAGAACATAAATAGATTGCTCAACGTTGTGGCGGGAGGTACACTCGCAGTCAATGGAAACTGAATCCGTTTAAAAATAGATTTATTCAGGACGGATTGGGAGAGGTTGGATAACGGGTTAAAGTTAGAGAAGCGATGTGTTCTAGTGGTCTGTGGCGCAGTAGGGTGGAGATAATTAGCAATATTGGGTTATGGAAATGCCTAGAAAAGACTTTGAATGCATAAACCATCCAGGCAAATACAGACTTAAAGTGATGGCTATGTTAATTATCCTCATCAGAACATTCCTTGATAAGTAGATGAACCCCAAATCACATGGAGTCCTATCTAGTAAAAGGAACAATTTTTTTCTGTGTCAATAAAAAGAAAGTAATAATAATAATAAAAGGTTACCAAAATAGTGTGCTGGAGGTTGGGTGTGTAGAAAGCAAATGAGGTTATCGGCTGATGCTCTAAGTTACAATCCCATCCTCCCAGGACAGCATGGCGGAAAGGACCTGTGGGCTTCAGCTTTAGAGTCATCAACGTGTGGAGCATGGGGGGAGCCGCTCTTTCTCTGTGGTCTTCAGTGTCTTCTGTTAATTCAGGTGGTTAGAATAACCAGATGTTCTGTCAGCTTCCTTGATGTGCTGCCTCCTGTCTTTCACCTGCTTAGGCCTCCTCGTCAATCTGTGTGTGCGTGTGCACGTGTGGTGTGTGTGTGCACGCACATGTGGTATGTATGTGTGTGTGGGCGCGCGCATGCGATGTGTGTGTGTATGCAGGTACGTACATGCTTTGGTGCACATGTGGAGGACTGAGACAACCTAAGGTGTTCTTACCTTCATTACTTCAGGTTTAAAAAGCACGTAATAACCTTAGTCACTACAGTGTTCATTTTTTTTAGTCTATCCCCTGCTTCCAATTTATCTGCTCTATAGGGTTGTACTTTTGTGATTGTGCTGCTGATTGTGTTTTAATTTTAAAATTACTCTTGTTTTATTTTATCTGTCAGTTTCTGTGCACCACAGTTGTGCAGTGCTCATCGATGGTTGCAAGCAGCACATCTGTCCACCCATGGTGGTGTTTCTTGACATTAGTTATGCTTGTTTTAAGATGGGGAAAGGTAGGATGAGGTGGATATGATGCAGACGCAGTACCCATGTATGAGGTTCTTAAGTTTTTCTGTTTATTTATTGATAGGTTGAGGTAATATAATTACAACATTTCTCCATTCCCTTTCCTCCCTTCCAACTCTCCTACAGATCCTCCTCTTTCCCCCTCAAAGTCATGGCCTCTTTTTCATCGATTGTTATTGCATGTATATATGTGTATTTATGTGATTATGTATATGTGTATATCTTCCTAAATATAATCTGCTCAGTCCTTATAATGTTACTGATGTGTATGTGTTCAGGGCTGACTGTTTGACACTGGACACCCATGATATGCTTTTCCCTGGGGAAGGCCACCTCAGCATTTTTCAGTTGCCTATGGTTCTTTGTGTGGTGTTGAAGCCTTGTGGGATTTTTCCTGTCCAGTTTGATATCATAAATTCTTTAAAAAATTGAAAATGGAATGTCCATTTTCAATTTTTTAAAGGAATATGGTGAATTTGGGCTGTTCCTGGAGGCACACAGCCAACCACCACACCTGTAAACAAGCTCAGAGTGGGAAATGGTGAAATCTCGTATTAGCACAGAATACCACTATTTGCACTAAAGTGTTTGAATTTCCTACTTCTTCTTCTTCTTCTTTTTTTTTTATTCTGCTAGTAGCCTTTGAAAGAACGAACAATGACTGATAGTCTAGTGGTGACTAAATTGTGTGATTGTTGACAGGGGAAAGGGTGGCAGTGTTCAAAGAAGGAAATTAGTAATTCCCACGTGATCAGGAGGAATCGCTTAGCACTCCGAGCTTAAATTTCAACTACAGTTTTCTCTAATAGGTTTATACTATTAAAATTAATTACCCTACAAATTGTTAATGAGTATTACAGGAAAATGACTACTAATGACAGAATTCCTGAGATACAGGTTAAAAAAGATGGAATTAGGCTCATAGGAGCATATTTATACACTCTTTCAAAACTGTGAAATGCTGTTGAGATTTAGGGAATGATCATTGGAGAGTTAGCCTTGCCCACACCTCTCACAAGGTTGTATTTTCTCCTTTGTTCATTTGACCACAGTGTGCTGCTGTGCCCACTTTTCTCGTCTCACTGTTTTCCAAACACCCTTGTGTCATTTTGCTTTGTTTTTATTGCACACCCCATATCAACAGCAACACCCCATACCGGCAGTAACATACTGTTTCTTTAGACTACTCAGTGGACAGGCAGTAGGGCCAGAAGCAGGGACAGGGAGGGCTTAGGAGGGACTGTAGGCACTCCCATTGCTGTGATCTAATACGACCAAAGCAACTTTAGGACAGAAGCGTTATTTTGACTCACAGAGCAAGGCGTTAGAAATTTGAAGCAGCTAGTCACATGGAGGCCACAACCAAGAAGCAGGGAGGAGGGGGAGAGAGAGGGAAGGGGAGGAAGAGGAAGAGAGAGGGAGACGATGCTCTTTTATACAGTTCAGGATCCCAGCCTCAGGAAGGGTACCACTCACAGGAGGCAGCCTTTACCATCTCAGTTATCCAAATCAAGATTAATTCCCCAATGACATGCCCAGAGGCCCATCACCCTGGTGATTGTGTATCTTATCAAGTTGACAACTGAGATTACCTATCCCAAGGGGTATGGAGCCTGAGACAGATTGAAGTGAGTGTTCTAAATGCTGGACACTGTTGGATAAGATTGAAGAGTATATTGTAAATATCAGGTTATTATTTTTTAGCAGGTGACTAACAGATTCATCTGTGCTTTGGAAACGAGACCTCTGGTGTCAGTCTGAAGAATAAAGAAAGAGACCGGAGGCCAGTGGGGCCAGTTAGCAGTTACTGGTGAGCTGGAACAAGGGAGGCAGAAGAATTAAAGAAACAATCAGTATAGAGCAGGCAGATTTGCTGCTCATTGCTTATGGAAAGGGAAGCTGGGAGGATCTGGGTTTAGTCTGATAGAGTAAGGAAAAACAAATGGTTGAGGATTTATTTTACGTGGCAAGAATGGAAGACTGAGGTAGGTCTTTAATCAGTTACTGGTTAGCACTGTTGTTTTTTGTTTTTTCCTTGTATTTTCCCTATTTTTTATTTATTTGAGACAGAGGCTCATTGTGTAGCTGTGACTGGTCTGGAATTCATTAGGTAGCCTAGGCTGGCCTTGAACTCACAGAGATCTGCCTACCTCTTAGTGCTGGGACTAAAGCTGTTTGTCACCAGGTCCAGCCTTAATTAATTTATTTTTGAGACAGGGTCTAAGTATGTAGCCTTGACTTTCTCTCTGTATGTGTGTATGCAAGGCCTTTACCCGCAGAGCCATCTCACCAGCCTATTTCATTACTTTAAAAAAAAAATTCTAACACAGGGCCTCACACAGCCTAGTCTGGCCTTGAACTGGCTTAGTAGCCAAGGATGACCTTGAACTTTTAACCCTACTACCTCTGTCACTCCAGTGCCGGGATTAAGAGGTGTGCACTACTAATGACTGGATTATGAGATACCGGGGATTCGAACGCGGAGCTTCGTTCAGGAGCCCCACACCGCTTTGCCCCAGGCCTCACTCTCTCTCACGTCGGCCCCCTGAAAACGCGAGGCCGGT